TTCCTGTTCTTACTAGTATTATTATCATCCTGTTAAGATTACTGTTCTGTTATCCTGAATTGCACCATTACTTATATCATCAATGATCTGTTCACATTTTATAACAGTATTGTTGTTCTTATAAATAACGATACAATAATCTTCAACTATGTAAAATTACTATAATTACTAGCATTATCAAAAACAAAGTTAGTAATAATTATAATGATGTTAATGGTGATAATAACAGTAATGATACTAATACTACTTCTACTAATAATAATTAAAGTGATAATAATGATAATAATAATAATAATAATAATAATAATAATAATAATAATAATAATAATAATAATAATAATAATAATAATGATATGGATAACAATAACAATAACAATAGTAATAATAATAATGATAATAAAAAGGATTATAATAATAATTTTTAAAAAATGAAAATGATAATTATATTAACAATAAAAGTAGCAATAATATTGATAGCAATAAAGACAATAATTATTACAATAATTATAATGATAATAATAGCTGATAATAATAGTGTAATTACTTGTATAATATTGATAAGAACGAGGAACAGTAACAATAATAACAACAATAATGATAGCTATGAAAATGGCAATAATAGTAGTAATGATAATAATAATAGTAATAATAATGGCAATAATAATAATTATGATAATAGTAATAATAGTAATAATAATAATAATAATAATAATAATAATAATAATAATAATAATAATAATAATAATGATAATAATAACAATAATAATAATAATAATAATAATAATAATAATAATAATAATAATAATAATAATAATAATAATAATAATGACAATAATGATAATTAGAATGTAATGATAATATTGATAATAATAGCAATAATGTTATAATGACTATAACAATGAAAGTGCTAATAACAACAGTTATATAAATCATGATGATAATAGTAATAATAGCAATGACGACAGGCATAATAATATCAGCAATGATAATAAATGTAATAATAATCATGATAATAACAGTGATGGTAATATAATGCTAATAATATTTAATGATATTTAATGATATTTAATGATAATAATGATAATAGTAATAATAACAATAATCATAATAGTAACAATAGTAATGATAGCAATACTAATAATAAGACGAAGAAGATAAAGAAGAATATTAATTATAATAATAATGAAAATAATAATAACAATAATAATAATAATGATAATAATAATAATAATAATAATAATGATAATAATAATAATAATAATAATAATAATAATAATAATGATAGTAACAATAATAATTATAATGATAATAATAATAATAATAATGATAATAATAATGATAATAATAATGATTATAATAATCATAATAACAGTAATAATAGAAATGATAATGACGATAACAAAAACAACGATAATAATAATAATGATTGTAGTAATAAGAAATAATTATAACAATAATAATAATGATAATGATAATAATGATATTATTATCATTATTATCATTACTATTATTATTATTATTATTATTGTTATTATTATTATTATTATTATTATTATTATTATTACTATTATTGTTATCATTATCATTATTATCATTATTATTATAATAAGAAGAATGATAATCAAAATAATGATAATGATAATAATGATAATAATAATAATAATAATAATAATAATAATAATAATAATAATAATAATAATAATAACAATAATAACAATAATAACAATGATAATGATAATACTAGCAATGATAATGATGATGAAAATGATGATGATAATAATGATAACATTAATAGGAATAATAATGATAAATAATAATAATAATAATAATAATAATAGTAATAATAATTATAATAATAATAAAAGTGATAAGTAATAATAATAATGATAATAACAATAATGACAATTCAGTCAAATCTATTACTACTAATAATAACAATAATGATAAACAACACACCTAAAATAATATTTACACTGACAATAATAACAATACTGATAACAATAACAAATCATAAACCAGTGTACATGAAAATTAACAGCGATATGACATTCATATTTTTGATAATATGTGCAATATTGACAGCCATATAAAGTTGATGATTTCTCAGACGGAAATGATAATAACAACAGTATCAATGTAGTCTTTGTACTGCTTTAAAAAAATTGATAATGTGTTTCAAATTAAGTGAGAAAGAACTATGGTATCATTGCTAATAGTGATACTGAATGTAAAACTAATAATGATAATGATAAGTTGAGATTGATAATTATAATTAAGATGATGATAATAATGATGTTAATAATGGTAATGATAATGATGAGGATGATGATGATGATAATAATAATAATAATAATAATAATAATAATAATAATAATAATAATAATAATAATAATAATAATAATAATAATAATAATAATAATAATAATAATAATAATAATAATAATAATAATAATAATAATGATAATAATAGTAACAATAATGAACGTAATAATAATGATGATATTGATAATAAGACTAAAGATGTTAATATTAAGGATAATAATCATGATAACTAGAATAAATATAATGATAACATTCATACCGAAAGTAGTAATAACGATGATAACAGTAATGGCAGTAATATCAATATCAATGATGATAATATTGATGGTGGTAAAAATTGTAATAGTAATAATAATAGTAATGATAATTAGAGTAATAACAACAACAGCAACAATAGCAACAATAATAATAATGATTATCATAATATTAATAATAATAATAGTAATGCCAATAATAATAATAATGTTGATGATAATAATAATAACAATAACAAAGATAATGGCATTTCCGTAAAAGTTATTTTGACTGTTGATGTTATTGTTGCTGTTATTGTCATCATCAGCATTATTATCATTACTATCATGAGTATTGATATCACTTCTATTATGACTGCTGTTAGTATCAATAATAATAGTTTAATTTCAATCAGTTTATCACTGTTATTCTGTTACTGCATCAACTTCAAGACATGATTATTTGCATAATCTGTTTAAGCATCGGCGTTATTATCGGCCTTATTATCATTGTTATTATTGTTATTACTATTTTTAGTAGTAGTAGTAGTAGTATCGTTACCATTACTATTATTATTATTATCATGATTATTATTATTATTATCATTATTATTATTATTATTATTATTATTATTATTATTATTATTATTATTATTATTATTATTATTATTATTATTATTATTATTATTGTTGTTGTTGTTGTTATTGTTATCATTATTATTATTATTATTATTATTATTATTATTATTATTATTATTATTATTATTATTATTATTATTATTATTACTATTATTATTACTATTATTATTATTACTATTATTGTTGATAGTTAATAGTTTCTCTAATATCAATATCATTATTATTAGCAGTAGCAGTAATAGCAGGGGAATAGGATAGTCATTATCATAACTATAATTATCATTATTATTACTATTATCATTATCATTATTATAACGTTTATTCTATTCACTTATGTCATTATCATCCTTATCCTTATCATCATCCCTATCATCATTACTATTAACATTAGTATCACTTTCATTGATATTATCATTTTTGTTACTATTATCTGTAACACATTTCATTGATATAACTATAATTACTGATAATAATACTGATACGTAATTCTTGTCGTAGATTGCGTTGGTTATTAGTACAACAAATATCATCATTTTTCTTTTCGAAATGTTCAATGATATTCTCTCTCTCTCTCTTTCTCTTTCCCTATATATGTATTTCCATATATGTGTGTATCTTTCTTTCTCTCTTGATTTGTCCATTTCTCTCTCTCTCTCTCTCTCTCTCTCTCTCTCTCTCTCTCTCTCTCTCTCTCTCTCTCTCTCTCTCTCTCTCTCTCTCTCTCTCTCTCTCTCTCTCTCTCTCTGTCATTTGCTTTCAAGACTCCTATACAATAAATCTTCCCCCGCGACATACGGAAAACAAACTATTTATTAGGAAACATTACACTAACAAAGGCAGGAGCTTAGTCTAATGTTCGTGTCGAGTCTCTTTCTTAATAAGGCAGAGGAAGCTAATAACACATTCGTCGGTTCTTAAGCGGTAACAAAATATGACGTGGAATATTCTGTAATCTAGACTGAATGTATTTATGGGACATTTGAGTTTGGATAATGATGTTAGTTATATAGTTATATTTATTTGTATCTCTTTGTTTTTATCTTTCTTATCGTGTTTTTTTTTATTAATTCGTATGTTGATTATTATTTATGTCTTGTGTTCTTATAGCGTGTTTATCTTCGCGAAGAGTCGATGAGAGTCCCTTTATCATTCATAGATATTACTTAAGGTGAACTGACGTATCGCACGGTAATGATTTCACTTCCCTTCCTATTTATCGCTTATCACAAAAACAAATCAAACAACCAAAAAAAAACAAACTAATCACGACGAATAAATAACGCAAGAACAAAAGCAATTCTCCTTTCTTCTGAGACAAACACCCACACCTTCTGACCTCCTGAGAAGACCTAGGATAATGATAAGATCTCGTCACGTCCTGAGCGTAATCCGAGAGTTCTTCCTGGCCAGTGACACCCCAGCACGGTCAGAGGGGAGACATTTCAGCGGCGAGGGAAAGGGGAGGGCGGAGGAGGAAGGGGAAAAGGGGGAAAGGCGACGAGGGCATTTCTAGGGTAGAATACTTTACTCGTGGCACTGTGAGGAGAATTAATGGGAAACGGAAGCAGCAAGACACGCGTGGTTCATTGTTCTAACGCACTGGGGTTTGATATCGAGTTTGATCTCACTTCGTCGGTATTGAAATCTCCCCGAGGCGGCGGCGGCGGCGGCGGAGAAGGACGCGTCGCTAACTTCTGTACTGGGATTTGCTTTTCGTTGGCTTTGAGACACAATGTGTGTCGATTACGTTTTCGTTTTTTTTAATGATTTACCTAGAGAGAACCTATAAAAAGACAACGGTCTTAC